CTGGCATGTGGTGCTGGGGGATTGAACTGCGGTCCCTCTTCTTTGCCAAGCTTGTTCCAAGTAGGTGCTTTAGACCACTGAGCCATCTCACCAGCCCCTCTCTATTTTCTTGTTGTGAGCATTCACTGCTATAAATTTCCCTCTTCGCGCTGCTTTCATTGTGTCCCATAAATCCCAGTATGTTGTATTGTCATTGTCATTTAATTGTAGAAACTGTCTAATTTCTTCTCTAATCTCATCTCTGATCCATTGGTTGCTCAGGAGGGTGCTGTTTAATTTCCATGTGTTTATGAAGTTCTCTTTTGTTGTTGTTGTGGCCGGCTTAGCCCATCCTGGGGGCAGGGCTGACGTGGAATGTAGCGCCAGGGATCGAACTGTGGTCCCTGTGGTTGCCTAAGCTTGCCTAAGCAGGCACTTTAGTCTGCTGAGCTATCGCGCCAGCCCATTTTATCAAATTCTTGTGGTTTCTTCTGCCATTGATTTCCACTTTCATTGCGCTATGGTCTGGTAACATGTGTGAGATAATTTCTATTCTTTTGCATTTTCTAGAGCATGTTCTATGAAGTGTTTGGGGTCTATTTTGGAGACCATCCTGTGTGGAGCTGAGAAGAATGTGTATTCTGGTGCGGTGGGGTGCGACACCCTATAGACGTCTACTAAGTCCATCTGTTCAAAAATTTAGTTCTAGTATTTCACTGTTGATATTTTGTCTAGTTGATCTGTTTTTGGGGGACAGTGTGGTATTGAGTTCCCCCAGTATAATTGTTTTAGCACTTACTTGATTTTTCATGCCCATTAATATTCGTTTGATATAGGTGAGTGCACTGGGGTTTGTTTCCTATTTATTTGTGATTGTTATCTCTTCCTCTTGGATTGCTTCCTTTAGAAAGATATAGTGACCTTTATCTCTCTTCACCAGTATTAGCTTGGAATTCACTTTGTCTGTAAATAGAATAGGTACCTGCACTTTTTTCTGGGTTCCTGTTGCTTGGAGTATTCTTTTCCATCCTTTGATTTTTCAGCCTATGAATTTCTTTTCTTTTCTTTTCTTTTTTCTTTCTTTTCTTTTCTTTTTTCTTTTTTGGCAGAATCAGGGATTGAACTCATGCCGTTGCACTTGCCAGGGAAGTGCTTATTCTACTGAGCTATCTGCCTGGCCTGTGAATTTCTTTTTAATTTTTTTTTTTTTTAATTTAGTACAGGGTCTACAGGGTCTTACTACGTAGATCAGACTCATAGTGATCCTCCTGCTTTCAGCCTCCCAAGTACTGGGATTACAGGCAAGCACCACCATGTCCAGGTTCAATCACTGTCTCAGAGTGCCCTGGGGGCGGGGCCGGCACAGCACGCTGGGGATTGAACCCAGGCCACTGTGCTCTGCCTAAGCAGGTACTTTAAATGTGTTTCTTGTTTGCAGCATATTGTTGGATCTTGCTTCTTGATCCAGTCTGCCAGTCTATGTCTTTTGATCGGTAAATTGAGATCACTAACACTGATGGTTACAGCTGATATGTACTGACTCATCCTTGTCAGATTATTTCCTATTGTTAGCTACTCCTATATTTTTCCCCTCCCTCTATTTGATTTTTTTTTTAGAGCAATTTGCTGAGATTCTCACTTTGTCCCTTGCTTTCTTATGCACATTGATAACAGTTATTACCAGGTCCGTGTCTGGTAACTCCAGCCTCAGACCCCTGTGGGCCTCTTGCTGTTGGGTGCTGTTCTCCCAGTGGTACTGGGTTATGTGCATGTGTTGCATGGGCCTGACTATTTTCCATCCAGTACTTGATTTTTTTTTGTTTGTTTGCTTGGGAGTTTTGTGTATTTGTTTTTAAAGGTAGGGTCTCATGACGTAGTTCAGGCTGGCCTTGAACTCTGTGTATCCCTGGCTGGCCTGGAATTGGCAGTGATCCTCTGCCTCAGCTTCCCAAGTATGTGCTACCATGCCAGACTTGATGCTGAGTTTTAAAAGGTATAGACATCATTTGATGTTTGGGATGATAACTTCCTCACACAGAGAAAGGAAAGCAAATCAAAACAAAACTTGCCTTTTGCTTGTGACAAGGACTCGGCGGAGTTGTCCCTGTGCAGGCTGACTTGTCTGCAGTCTCTGTGAAGTTCGTGCGCTTTGAGGGCTCTCCCCCCAGCTCCTAGGCTGTTGGGGTGTGAACCCTAACGCTGACCTTGGTAGCTACTTCCCCGCAGCAGTGAGGAAGCGAGGGGCATGCAGATGGGACAGGAGCGTCTTCTCCCTGGGCCCCAGCCCCACCCCTGCAGCCTGCCCTCGGGGTCAAGGGCACCACCTGCACACATGCGTGGCTCCTTCGGATGGCGCTGTTGTTTTTGCTGTTCAGTTCCTACAGCTCGCATTGGTCTTTCCCATCTTGGCAGGAACTGGGGTCCCCTTCCCAGGCTGGGGTGTGGCTCAGTGGTGGAGCTCTTGCCTGGCACACACGATGATGGGGTTCAATTTCTACCATCAGAAGACGAGGAAAAGCAGGATCCTTCACCAGCGTCCCGGTTTCTTCCCAGGTTATCCTGTGGCCCTGTCAGCTTTAGCCCCATGTGGGCAGTGGTTGGTAAGGGACACAGACCGGAGGTCCCTGGAGAGGGACAAGGTGTAGTTCAGTGGCGGAGCATGCAGGGTGAATATTGATTCACTGTTTCTTGCTCCATGTTCTAGATAATGAATTATAATAAGTAAGGCATGAAAATAAACACATTGTATACTACATACTTTTTTTTTTGGCGGAACTGGGGATTGAACTCAGGCCCTTGCGCTTGCCAGGCAAGCACTTATTCTACTGAGCTATCTTCCCCAGACTCCCATTACTTACTTTTCTTTCTTTCTTTCTTTCTTTTTTTTTTTTTGTATTTTAGGGAAGGGTCTACAGGGTATTCAGGGTCTTATTACTAGATTGGACTCATAGTGATCCACCTGTTTACAGCCTCCCAAGAGCTGGGATTACAGGTGCATGCCACCGTGCCCAGTATCAATTGCTGTCTCAGCATGCCCTGGGGACGGGGCTGGCATGGCAGGCCCAGGGATCAAACCCCTAGGCCCTGAGCCTGCTTGCAGACACTTTAATCCGCTGAGCTATTTGGCCGGCCCTATTGTATACCACTTACTGTGACAGCCAGTGTTGAAATATTTTTATTGCTTACCAAATGCCATGTCTTTATTTTATTTTTCATTTTATTTTTGAGACAGGGTCTTGCTGTAGATTTCTGATTGGCCTTGAACTCACTGTGCAGCCCAGGCTGCCCTCAGACTCTCAGCAGCCCTCTTGCCTCAGCCTCCCCAGTGCTGGGATTACACGCAGGCATACCTACACCCAGCAGCGTGCTTTCTCTTGCATTCATTCATATCCCTACTGAGTTGATTGTTTCTCGCAGTTCTAGGGATGGAACCCAGGGCCTTTGCATTGAGCTACACCCCTCAATCCTGTTTTCTTTTCTTTTCTTTTTTTTTTTTTACAGAATGCTCTCACTAAGCTGCCCAGACTGGGCTCAAACTTGTGGTCGTCCTGCCAAACCTCCCAGAGTACTAAGCTTATAGCATGCACCACCATGCCTAGCCAGTTATTTATTTTATTTTTTAAAAAGGGTAGAATTAATATTTTGTTGTTATTTATAATCAGATGGCAGCTGGGTATATAGTTTCCATACTTATTTTTTTGTAAATTAAAAAAAAAATTAAGTTTTGTGTGTGTGTGTGTATTTTAGGGACAGGGCTACGGGGTGTTTAGGGTTTCACCACTAGATGGGACGCATAGTGATCCGCCTGTTTGCAGCCTCCCAACAGCTGGATTACAGGCACGCTGCGGGTCTCAGCGCGCCCTGGGGGCGGGCCGGTGCGGCAGTTAGACTAACTCACTTACGGTCGCTTCAAGCTTCTCCTTCTTAGCCCCAGAAAACTCACTCACCTTCTCACCCTTTTTAAAAACCTGGAGGGTTGGCAGCACTTGACGTCTCAATGTGCAGCAGCGTCCTGACAGTCAGCTCCAGCTACTTCAAGGAACAATGCGCTGGAATATTTTTTCACACAGGGAATGAAAGAAGGGCTTGAGCATTTTGCAAGGCCACCCGCGTGCGAGACGCCAGCTACTGCGAGCTCGCCTCCTGCAGCAGCCAGCGCTTCCTCAAAGGCCTCTTCGCTTTCCATCTGCTGGCTGCTGGGGGCCGAAGCCTGGCCAGTTATCTAATTAAAATTACTATTTAATTTTAACTTGTTGCGTAACCACTGGGAAACACATTTATCATGTAACATTTTCATTCCTTATATTTTAGACCTATCTTATTTTTAATCCAGCAAATAATAAGGAATTGGTGAGCAACAGTAAAACAGAGACAATATACTATTGGTGGGTAAGTACAAATATTCGATTCATCTAAATACGGGTACAAGTTCAGGTTTATTTTTTTTGTTTTTTCAGGTTTATTCTTTGAGTACATGTGTTTTGCTAATGTAACAATATGCTGTCTAGTTAGGGAGCCGTGAATATATATTGCATATTTTGATTTAATTATGGTGTTTATTTCAGTTCTACTGGAAATTAGGATATTCAATTGGAAGCACGTAGTGAAGTTTTATTTAATTTTTTGAAGTAATAAGGCAAGTGTTTATTTCAGTATATTTAACAGATAGTAACGGTAGGGCTTCCTGCAACCTTGGACTGTATTCTCTTTGGGGAAAGAATTAGCCAACAAATCAGCACTAATACACAGTCTCAGGGCAAAGGGATGAAATTAGAGGAACTTTCGAAGTTAAATGCAGAATTAGCACAGGCCACGGATGTTCCCGGGTAAAGCCAGAGGAGCTGGAACAGCGACGCAAACAAACCCTCCCCATAGCAGCACTGGTGCGGATCACAGGCCAGCACCAGAGGGAGGTGACAGACGTGGTCCCTCCCTGTCCTGGACAGAACTGAAGGAGCTCTTGATCCCTGATAGTGCAGGGACGAGAGAACCAGACACTATGCTGGGTGGGGGTGGGGTGGGGGTGGAGGTG